TTCGACGGTAGCTGGTTTTGGGACTCATAATCTGCTGTCTGATTGTTAATTCCGGCTTGTGAGCCACACCGATCCCGAATGGCTTCAGGATTCTTGCAGTCGCCTCGGATAAGTTCTTCACATAAGGGATAGCTCAAGCTGGGGCTTCTTAAGACTTTGGACTTTGCATAACCGTTAGCTTCGAAGGGCGCATAAAATGTTTTAACCTCCTCCTTCTTCCCACTGTCGTCGCTGCAGTGTGTCTGAACGCGTGGGAAGAGGGTCCGAACACAACTGCGTTTGTGCCCAACAAAGTGGTTGCTTCTAAAGTGTACGATGCGCATAGTGTTGTTTGCCTTACGATAAAGCATTGGCCCTATCTTACCTTCTAGCTTCGTCACCTGTACGTCGGCGAAGGGTAACTGGTTGTTGTCCTCTTCTTCGACAGTGAACTGGATGTCAGGGAAGATGGAATTCAGCAGTGGCTTGAACTCCTGCACTTCGTTCCTTCTGATGAGGACGAACATGTCGTGGATGAAAACGGTAACATTTTGTGTATATTGAGAGAAATCACGTCTCATCTTATTTCTTTGTTATTATGATTACGTTACGAACGATTGCCTTAAGGTTCCGATCATTCTTAAAATACCGCTTTGAATTTGATATTTTCGGTTTGTTTACTTAATTGCCCATAAATAAAGATTTTGTCAAACACTTTCCCCAAACTTGGAAACATGATATTCCTTAAAAGCATTTACCTAGCTAACGAGAATATACACATCCTTTCGTATACAGCTCTTTGTTGGGGAGATGCGTTTAGAATCACCAAAATATGTCAGCTCATTGCCGAGGTAAATGAAAGTGCACAACCAATTCGCGAACGAATACGCCTATGAATAATTTAAAAACTTTCTATGACAAATTCCCTCTTGAAAAAGCGCTTGACTTTGATGTTTCATCGTCGAATATTTGCGTACTTCAGATATCTTGAAGATTAAGTCAACATGAAAATGTGCAATGTTGACCAGTTGTGTGACTTCCTTCAAAATACAAAGTAAATCTTGTGTTAAAAATATAGGATCTCACTATCATATACACTGGAGCGATTTTCCACATACGTATTTTTAGGCTCTGTTATTAGATTGCAAAAGCACACCAGAGTGACAGGATATAAACTATGATTTTGAAAAAAACTCATATTCGTCAGCCATTTCTTTCACATTTATTTTCATTAATTCTGCTTTACAGCAAAAATTTTGCTAGTTTTCCACATAAGGCGTATTAGGGAAAACTGAGAACACTTAACGGGTGTTAATATATATAGGCTTGATTATGACGCCTATTCAGTTATAGTAAAACAAATAACGGTCTCATAAGTGTAATACCTACCCTTTCGGCACAAAACCTACCGAATTTACAAAACGCAGTCTTTTAAACTGAATCCACTCTACTTTTCCCCAAAAATAATGCACTTACCCATATATGTAGACACCACAATTTAATTAGACGCAAAAACAAATGTTTTGTTCTCTGAACAAATATAATTAAACCTTCTTGGTATTTATTAATGTTCTTTTATAGCAAAAAGCGTATAAGCAAGAAGTTTCGGTACACAGCGTTCAAAAGCATAGGAAATGCGTTGGACGTCAATAATCGTTAGATGCGGCCACTGTTGACTAATGATATCCTTCAATAATTTGATCTGCACTAAACTCACTTCTAGTAAACAGTATTTTTCGCCTCAAGTCTATTCAATGAATAAAGAAAATGTGTGCTAAACAATTTATTCACATTTTGGCCTTCACATTTCATGTAATAGCATGCAGTGTTCTATATTTAGTTAATAACGATATAAATGTATAGGCCTAGAGTTAATTAATGGAAAGGAAACGCCAAGTTATCTTTTATAATCACGTTGATAAGGAAGTTTGCTACACTTGCTCAACCAAACTCTGCCTTAAATTCTAACCTTCTATTATCGTTTTCTTACCCCCATTCTCACAACTTACTTGTACGAAAAGACGAACACGTTATAACTTGCACTCCGAACCCATATGCATGTATTGGCCTGACAATAATTAATCGAAACCCTACGTACGCTCGTCAAGTAATCTTGTGACTTATCTGCCTTTGAGAATAAATTTGTTAAAAGCGAGTACCCACAACGGCAAGTGAAAATTAAAATTGCCATTTCAGACCTTTAAACCGTCACCACTAATATAACTGAACCGTCTGCATTTCCACTGCGTTTGTCAGTTCCCTTATTTTCAGCATAGGGCGACATAAGACTTCTGCCTTCACCCACCTCGCCTTAAAACCAACTGTATCTTTCTGCAAACCATTCCACGCGCACCACTTTTCTGCTTGTCATTTGCGTGTCAGCCTAGCTAGCCCGAGAATTCAACATCCTGGCCAATTTATTTTGTCTGATGACGAGTTGGTGACACAAACTTGAAAATTCACGAGCAAAAATTGATTTTCCAAACAGTTATGCATTTGCCAAATAGTGATAGGGTAGAGGGCACCAGTCGTGTGACGGAAAATAGTCATTAACAGGCGAATATCGGCTAGTATTATAGGTGGAAGAACATTATCAACAAAGATGAAGCAGACTGCAATATTAATCGGACATTCAGACCCAACCCCAGGCTTAGGACGCCCGAAACCCCAACTAGAGGTATCGGGTATGAAACTCTACCATTTAACCATGGGCCTATCAGTTCAGTATACACATCACCACAGTAACAAAGAACCGACGTTTGTATCATAAGGAACTTGTGGTAACAGTGATTTTACGGTGAAACATACCTGGGAAATATGTACTTAAAAGGTAGATCGTATAAAAGTAGGAAATGATAAGAACAATTATTTAAATAACCAAATGTTTAGCAACAAAAAGCCGGCAATAATTAATATGAGAAATACAACTAACAGACGGCGAATTGATAAAACGCCTAAAGAACCGCGCCGTTTTGAAACTCAAGCATAACTATGAAAGGTTGGCATTTTTCACATTTAAGGCCAAAAAGAAAAACACATGTCGATAATTAAACTCAAATGATACTAAACTAAAAATAAACTAGGCAAAGTAAGGTGAAGTAAGTTAACTTAAGTAACTAAACTAAACTAAAAAATTAATAAAGCTAAATAATCAACTTAAAACTAAACTTAAATACAATGAAAACTACACTAACCTGATTCATAGCTTAAACGAAACTAAATCAAAATAAACTAAAAGCAGTAAAATTAGCTTAACTAAACTAGACCAAACTAACTGAACTAAAAACCAAACATAAACTAATAAAACTAAATAGTAGACCAAACAACTTAAATTAAACTAAACAAAACTTAAATATGGTTTACATTAAGACAAATGAAAGCAACCCCAGGACACTATCGACTTCCATATAGGGCTTGGTAAATGCTGGATACTTACGTAAGAAACCAGGCTTGCTAGAACGAACTAAGTAGTTGGAAATGTTGTGTCCACTGCGGTGATGTGTATATTAATTCCTTACTAAGGTATACATTTGTCACCAACTATGTAATTAAGTGGAAGCCATATTACGCTATGAAACCTTTAAATGCTGTACGCTCTATGAACAGGTCTTTATGCTCCAATATGGAGGATATATATATCCCTGCTTCACTTGACCAAACCAATTTTTTAAATTTCTAACTGAAAACAAATAACACCACTGATATCGATGGTCTAGTCCAAAAATAATCCATTACATTATTTCTGTAACTTCGTTCCCCTTAACCTCAAACGGAACTTGGTATTGAGAATGGCTGCCAGAATACGCCACATTTACTCTCCTGAAATAGTGGAAGTAGAATTGCAGCAGCTACAAAACACACTCCATGAAAGGGGTTATCCAGAAAGGTTCGCCCTTCGAAACATAAAGGAGCGTGACATAAAGGCTACAGATGCAACGGTGGAAAAGAAAGATATATTCATAAGACTGCTTTTTATGGGAACGCAGCAAGCGAACTGATAATGCGACGCCCGAGGACAGCAGTCACAAGTGCCTTCCCGGTGGAAAACTTGCGCGTATTCTTCCCTAACTCTCTTTTCCTACGAACGGGAGGTAAAGACAGACAGTTACAGGCCACATAAATATGTATCTATTATTTCATCTGCTCCTGTGGAATAAAATATATTGGCTGAACAACGCGACGTCTGGAGAAGAGAATGCGCAAGCACGTACAAGGCTGGCTCAGCAAAGAAGAGAATAGTACGATCTCAAGCTCAATCCTCGCTCACCTAATTGATACGAACCACCAAGTGGACGCGAGAGGAACCTTTCGGGTAATATACCGGACGCGGACTCACTACTCCAAAGTCCTGCGCAAAGAAGTGTTAGCCATAGCGGAGGCAACGGCAATCCGGTTAGAAAAACCCACTCTGTGCTGTCAAAAGGCGCTGATACAAGGAATCTGCCTCCCTTGGCCTAGTGCACGCGGAAATTTCACATCTCCTGAAGCCAAGTTGTCTATATAAAACATAAACCGAAACCCCAGAGAATATTCAAGCGCACGCTGCGCGGCTTACCTACAGATCTCAACCCGCCGACCATGGAACTATCCCCTCCTCCGTCTTCTCTGCGGCTCGCAACCAACGTCCTATACGGGCTAGCCCCCACATTCAGGAGACGAGGCAAAACCCTTGTTTCCCCCCCCCAACCTGAAGATCATATAACCGTTGCAATTAACCGACGATTTGTATTCTACATGTCACAGTACCGGCCTGATGATGATGGACTAAAAACAATTGTTTGCCAATAGGACTTTTCAATCGTAAAATGTTTCTGTCATTCGCTTTAATGTTGAACTCGTTGGCTCAATAAACCTTCCTATGCACTTCTTGAATCAAAGAGAGCGTTCAAATATTTATAAGCAATTATTTTATTGACTAACAGAATGAATTTGGAGTATATGCTCTACCCTATTGGTACAATCAGCTATGGTGGTTTAAGGGAGGGTTGTGAAATACCACACCACTAGCGGTTCATTTTGGTGGTCTTTTATGAGTTACTCAAATTTTTACGAATTATTCAAGCCCTTCCTACCATCGCCACATGCTAGAATCGCTTTGGCTTGGTCCTACCGTAAGCGGCTACTCTGGGAAAACCAGACGCTGACATCATGCTTATGTTTAGTCGACTATTAAATAACACAGAATCACTTAATTAATTGCGAAAAGACACGGCGAAATGACAATCATGTTATCCAATTGATTTTTTCAAGTCCCAAATTGATAGGGACTTACCTTAGTTCTGAGGTAATATAACATGTGTTATAATAGGTGCTGGAAGATATGAATAATTTGCTTGATTCCGTTGTGAGAAACGCAGTGGCTTCCGTGGGATTTGAAATATGAGAGCAAGGGGAAACCTTAAATACAAGCAATGCTCTCACAACCTGGGCCGACGGGAGCAGTGCACTTAATCACACTTAGATCAGTTAAACCACTAAGCCTACTGCAACGTATGGAATCGAACAATTCTGGTAATTCAAGCTGACT